TGGATCGCCGAGATCGAGGTCGCCGATCCCGCCGAGTTGGACTCTTTGCTGGATGAGGCGGCCTACAAGGCGCACATTGAGGCGGAGGATCACTAGTTTTGCTGCATCAGAATGTGATGGGTTCTAGGGGGTTACTCTTTTTCTTTTTTCTCTTTATTTAAAGTGCTTCATGCTTGCGCAAGGTTTCTTATTGGACGGGTTTATGTTTGGGATAATGTTGCGTCTGTGGGATGCGATGATGATTTGGGTTTATAGATGATGATGATGATGATGCGCGGTGGGTTGATTTGGTCCGGCTTCGGTCAGTTTTCTTGGGAACAATGGTCTGGCTGGGTTAAAGGGTTGTTGATGGAAGGAATTGGCCCTAGCGTGGTTGCTTGGTCTTCAATGGTTTGGACCTTGTATTCAACATTCAACCAGGGGTTTACAGCATGTATCAAATCAAAAGAGTTTACTGTATCAAAACTATAGCTCTAAGCATAAGCTAGTCCGTATTGTTAACACTGTCGGGGCGTCTATAATACGTGGCTATCGACACAAATGCTGCGGACGCTAACATACATGGTCTACACCGGGGGAATGGATTCGCGGCAAATTGGACACTGAAGTCGGAGCCGCATCCAGCTCTCCAGACAAGTACTGTGGAAAATATGCCGGCAGGGCGTGACCATGTACGTGCGCCGGCTGAGGATGCTCGACGCTCCGTCGGCCATGCCCGCCCCACCGGACGTGAGCACGGGCACCTCGATCTCCTGCATACAGATGGCGCAGTCGAACACCGCCTTCTTTCGGTCTCTCGAGCGATGTTTGTCGTCGTCCTTCGATTCGCTGGGGTATTCGCGTTCGTCGGCCCGCAGCGCCCCGATTGGGAGCACACCTCCGGACTCCAGATCGTCGCCCGACCCGGTATTGTCGCGCAGGGTCGGGTGGTAGTCGTACGCAGGGGGTGCCCATCCGCGGGGAACGAAGAAGCGCGGACCGAGGATGTCCTGGCTAGCTAGGATCCAGACTTGGATCCAGACCCAGCCGATCAGAGAGAGGGCCGTCGTCGCATCGGGTCGGATGAAAAGCACGTTGCCCCGGGCGGTAAGGAAGTAGAGAAACGGAAATAGTCGGAGGCAGCTCTGGCCGACCACAAAATCCCATCGCAGTGCTTTGCGGCAGTTGCGCATGACGTTGCGATAGATCTGAGGCGTCCAGAAAGAAAGATAAATGAACCCGAGTACTCGAGCATAAATAGCTCCGAGTCGGTTCGGCCAAAGGAATGCCCAGATAGATATGATAAGCATCACAAAGAGGATGAAGTAAAACCGTGCATACATAGTTCCCAAATCACTTCGAGCGTCCCGCGCTGTCTGTGCAGTGTCACGGTTGGCTGCTGGCACATCTTCATCAGCTGGAGCATCCTGATCCGGAGGCAGTATGACCGGGGTTGCGCCCGAGTCCCTGACCTGGGCAGCCGTCGCAGGAAGTGGCAGATTTGCTGGACGGGCGTTTGCGGGGACCCGCCGCTCCTGCTCCCGTCGTTCTGGAGCTTGGATGGCATAGATTTCCATCATGAACTTCATTCCGATGTAACTGACTGAAAGGAAGGTGAGGAAGGATGCAGTCGTCATGACCAGAAACGATACCACCGGGTATAATTCCAGAAGAATGAAGACGAGGACAAAAGAATCCCCGAAGGCCATGAGGGCCATCGTGTAGAAGCTGATACGACTCCGAGTGGAAGGCGTCGAGGCCTCCTTCACTTGCCTTAATAGCAAGGCGATTTGAGCAACGGAGACGGCCGACATAACAAAGATCATGCGAGCTGAGTACTTTGCGAATTCCTCTATCTTTGGACCTGACAGATACAATGTCTCCGTGGGTGGGAATTCGGGCGCGCCCTTGGTTTCTAGGATGTAACCGCAATCAGGAGAGAACACCACGGCTGACATGACCATCAAAGGAGGTGAAGGAATCGGTGCCCCAATGGGATATCTCAGCTCCTGCTCTATCTGCTCAATCACTGCCTTATCTGCTAGGTAGCCATGGATTGCGAGTGGGTGCTGTTGCAGGTAAACGATGTGTTCACATCTCGGCGCAGGAAACTCCATATGCTCACTACCCGCCAAGGAGGACCAGGGGAAAAGGGTAGGAGGCCTATTCTGCTTCTCAGAAATGGTATCTGATAGTGATTTGATGAGAAGCTCATGAGTGAGATTGTATGCATCAGATGAGAGACTAAGATGCGGCAACGTGAGGAGGCCCCCGAATTTCTCGCTAGTTGTGCTCAGAATGATACCGCCAGTCTCTGGAAAATGTATACCAATGAGTGAGAGATACCAGGTGTTGCCCCAGAAGTCACCACTTTCCACAGCTAGCGTGGCCCGGATCTCTCGGACATGACCCAAGGACGACCGAAGCTCCTGTCCACCTCCTTCGCGTACATCCAGGTAGAAAGTGCCACTGTTGCCAGTGACGTTTTGGCTGAACTCATGCGTAAAATACTCGTTTTCTTGAATAATAGCAGTCTTGTTGAGCGGAGGGTGTGGCTTGTCCTGCTTGCGGCGCACCCATTCGCCGCGCAGCTTCCCTGTCGCATTGCGGTAGACCGGCAGCGAGAGTTGCGTTAGGTTGAGATTCGTAAGTGCGTCAGACACTGCGAGGGACTTGGGAGGTCGGAGGCCTGCCTCAGTCATGACAGACCGCAGCTGAGACCGAGCTCTGTCCTGAACCTCGGGGAGAAGGTCCCAGGCATAACTGTCGTTCTTGCGGACGCCTGGAAAAGGCAACCATTTGTCGGCTCCCGGGTCAAAATCTCCATACCGAGTCTCATTCAAGAGGCGAAGGGCATTCCGCTCCCTTTGCAGTTCCCGCTGGTGCTCCCCATCTTGAGATACCAAGGGCGAACGAGACTGCGAGCTCAGGAGAAGATAGATGACGAACAAAAAGAAGAAAAAGGAGCCGCGGTGATCCATAGATGCCAAGGGGATGTAGGCATCGGAGTTGGAGGGGGGAACTCCTGAAGATCAATAGAAATATTCAGGTTATTTTGTGTCGCATTGCCAATCTATGGCCAGAACAAGCGACACTCATTTAGAGCTGGTCATTAAGCTCTTGAGGAACCAAACAACGGATAATGATAACGATGATGGAAGATAGGAAGATGATGAAATGGGGAAGCGGGCGGAAGTCGATGATGCGCTGAGTGAGTCGAGGCCTGAGGCCCGCCCCGTTTTCCCCCCCGCCTTTTCCGCCCAGCTTCACAACCGCCGGGCGACATTCTTCCCCTTCCCAATTGTCAGCCTCCCTGCTTCCCTGGAAGCTTGGTTTTCATCCCTCTTCGCGGTTGCGCCGTGTTTTTTTCCCTTCCATTGAGTTCCGGTCGGTGTAACGCTGCCTACGAAGTGACCTGCGTATCCCTTCACATCGATTGGCGCCGGCGCCCCATTCTTCAGCGACTGTCGTGATGGCGTCGAATCTCCCCATCCCTATTCCTCCGCGTACCCCGACTCCGCCCGCGGATGACGGCCCTACCAGCGCATTTGAGCCATCCTCGACCCTTTACGACAAGGACTCGCTATCCCCATTGAGGGATACCTTTACTCCCTCCAGGAGTACATTAGATATCAATGATCCCACTCGCCTGAGCCCGACGCGGGCTGCCTTCAACCTCAGTCCAGCCAGTGCTCGATCCCTAGGCGATCAGACCGACAATGTCTCGTCCGCCGGCCCCTTCAATTTCCAGACAACCACTATGGCCAAGAGCCCCGTTGTCAAGTCTGTGAGTCTTCCACAATACAGTAGACAGTATGATTCATGGTCCTGATTGCCCTGCCTATATTAAATAGAACATCGGACAGCGGCGCGGACATAAGTACAAGCACAGTAGTATATCGCATCAGATCTTCCTCGAGCCACCACCTCGGGCCCCGCTAGCATTGCCGAACTCGCTACCTATTCCCACGTTCAAGGAATACCGATCGAGCATGTCTAAGGACCAGACGACCCGTTTCTGGTGGAGCCTATGTCATATGTCCGTCGCGGCGTATACTTTGTGGAGCGCGCATGGCTCGCTAGCTATGACGGCGTTGTCGCATCTGATCTTATTCGACTCCATCGGGGCTCTCCTCTGCGTCGCGGTGGATATCCTAGGCAATTTCGAGGTGTGGAAGCGATCCAGCGTGCGCCATCCATTCGGGCTCGAACGAGCCGAGGTACTCGCCGGGTTCGCCATGTGCGTGCTCCTGCTCTTCATGGGCATGGACCTGATCTCGCACAATCTGCAGCATTTCCTCGAGTCCGCCGGCCACGAGCCGCACCACTCCCACGTGCACGAACGCGTGTCGCTGGGACGAGTGGATTTCACGGCGCTGCTCGCCATCGTGTCTACGCTCGTCTCGGCGATTGGCCTCAAGAACCACGGCCGCATCGGCAAGGCGATGCGGTTTGGGTATATCGAATCGCTGCCGTCGGTTCTCAGCAACCCTTCCCACTTCCTGACGCTCTCCTGCTCGTCTCTCCTGTTGCTGCTGCCGCTCGTCTCCATCAAGCTGTACAAATGGCTCGATGTGCTTCTGTCCGGCACCATCTCCATCTCGATGTGCGTCATCGGCGTGCGCCTGGTCAAGACTCTAGGGTCGATGCTGCTGATGTCGTACTCGGGCCAGGGTGTTACCGATGTGATGCGCGACATCGAGACGGATCCCTGTGTGCGTGGGGTCGACGATGCCAGATTCTGGCAAGTGCACTACGGCCTGTGCATGGCGAATCTGAAGCTTCGTGTGTCGGGCCCGGAGGAGAATCTGGCGCGGCTGCGTGAGCGGATCACCAGTCTGATCAAGAATCGGCTGGGTGGGGGGTACGGGACTGGAGGACAGAAATGGGAGGTGTCGTTGCAGTTTGCGGTTGAGAAGGCGTGATATGTGTAATTGATATGATGTATATTGTGGACTGGACATAATTTGTTTTCTCTACTGAAAATTCAACCATTTTCGGTTTGGTCTATATACTAGGGATAAGCATAAGTATGGGCACACTGGGACAAAATGAACCCAGAGCTCCCTTGCTGAAAGACTTAACAGTGCATGGAACCTCTTCTCTTCAATCCGGGCAATGAATCTACTATACAGCGCAGATGACCATAGATATAGAATAGGTCACACCTTCCCCAACCTGCACCCCTCACATCAAACGATACGACCACTTCCTGCCTCCCCCGCGAACGCTCGCCATCTAAAACTCCCCATACTACACGTCACCTACACCATCAGCCCATGACCATGACCCCATTCCCCCGCCGCAATCACAGAACCCCTACACCCCTCAACCCCAATCCCGTCCCCCAGGCTGTAAACGACAGACATGAATATAAAAAGCATAAAATTTATAGCACGATAAAAGAGAAGACACCACACACGCGCATAAAGAACCCAATCCAGATATACACACAACACAACCCCTCACATGATCCCTCCCCAACCCACACAGGAAAGCAGTCCATCATCTTTCTTTGCTTTTTTCGAATTCTTTCTTGCAGGAACTCCCCCGGGCCAACCGCTCAAGCAGCAGCGGCCAAAACACTCTCCTCGACCCGGTTCAACGTGCCGTTCTCGCGATCATCCCTCCGCCGGCGCTTCTCGAGGATCTGCTCGCGGCGCTGTGCGAGTATGCGGAGCTGGCGCTCCTCGACACCCTGCAGCCAGTAGCCGAAGCTGCCGCCGACGCCGGCGAAGAGCGGGTAGACCCAGAGGGATTCGCGGGCGAGGATGGGCCGCATTTCGATGCCGAGTTGCCAGAGGCGGACGGCGATGCCTGCATTTTTGGGGGGGAGAAACAGTCAATCGACAATTCGAGAGAGCTGGGATAAAGACACGATGGCTAGAGGTAGTTGGTGTGCCAATTGGGGCTTTCAAGATTGTTCTGCGTGGAATAACATACCGAAACCACCCCAGAAGAGGACTTTGTGAACCATGATTTGCGAGAGGTAGATGTGAGGAGTGGGAGGATGGTATTTCGGAATGGCCGGTTTGAAGAATTGTATCTGCGCGGATTAGGGCGTAGAACTTTCCGGCACACAGAGGGGGAAGGGGGGACAGCGCTCGGTGACGTTGCGACTGGAACTGACTTTATCCAACGGATACTGAGAGAGAGGCACGCCGGGATTCACGACGGAGGTTCAGTTGTTGCGTCGAATCACGGGGCCGCAGTTCCCAATCGGGGTGCGGATAATCGGGGAAGGAATTTATCCGATTGCTGTTCTTTCCGCTCGGGGAAGAGAGAGAGAGAGAAACAAGAGGTTCCGGCCCTTCACTTTAAACAATACGCGCCCGCTCCATGCGAGCGCAACTTTTTTTTTTTTGATTATCTTCTTTCCCACGTCTTGTTGATGGTCTGTCCTCTTTTGAACTCAGGGACTTTTTTATTCAAACACGTGTCGACCTCCTGCTATCCAATTTGAGTTCCGTCTCAGCTGTGCGCGCATCTGATACCCAGCCGATTCTCCGCGATGGCCGGTCCATTAGAGGAGACGGCAGATGTGTTGGGTCCAGCTGCTGCTGCTGGTAATGATGATGCCGCCGCCGCCCCCGCCGCCGCCGCGGGTGTGAAGCGACCGCTGGACATTGACAGCTTGCAGCGCAAGAAGTTCAAAACCGATGAATTGCCCTTGACCGCTACGCAACACGCCGCCATCGAGCATCTGCTACATGCGTTCAAGAAAAGAGGTGGTTTTGACAATGTGCGCAAGAAGATATGGGCGGAATTTGAGGAAGGGGTGCGTTTTTTGCTCTCTTGTCCTCAGTGATGGAGTTATTTCTGTTTGGCTAATTCCGCGTCTTCTGTGCGCGCTCATGTAGGAAGGCAAAGTGGAATTTACGAACCTCCTCGCCGAACTTGCCGAAGCGGAGATTGATCGCGAACCTGGATTGTTGTCGCGAGAGCGCGGAAAGGCTGCGACTCTTATCGAGGGTGCGGTCGATCGGAGTGACGTCTACAAGACGGTAGAGAGATCGCTGGATGCGCTTGCTTCGAATCATTTACAGATGATTCTGGATTCTGTACGGGAGATCCGCCGCGATGAAATCGGCGTGGAGGCTGCTGCCGAGGAAGAGGAGGCAGGTAATAAGACTGAGGAGGACTATGCAAACTACGTACAGGCTAAGCGCGATGAGCGCGAGAGAGCTTACCAGGAAGCCTTGCGGAAGGAGAAGGAAGCGGAGGAGGAGGAAGCGCGCAAGAAGGCGGAAGAGGACCGCAAGCGACGCGAGCTCGAACGCCAGAAAGAGGAAGAGGAGCGGGCCAGGCGCAGGGAGCGCGAGGAGCAGCGCCGAGAAGAGCAGCGCAAGCTAGACGAACAGCGAGAGAAGGAGCGCCAGGAACGATTCGAACGCCGCCGTCGGGAAGAGCGCGAGCGATTCCGCGATTGGCGGGATCGCAGTCGAACCAGAGACCGGGACTCAGACCGCGACCGAGATCGAGATCGTTTTCGCTTCCGTGATCGCTCCCCGGGCTACCGCTCCGAACGAGGCCATTCTCCCCGTCTCCGTGAGACTCGGAAAGAGAAATCGCCGACACCCAAGGAACCTACACCGGCCCCTGTGCCGCCTCCAGCACCTGTTGACGAGAAGTCCCTGGAAGAGGCTGCGCTACAAATGCTGTTGAAGGAGGGAGAGGAGCTCGCCGCGAAAGCCCGACAGAAGCCCGAGTTCGATTTCGAGGAAGCCGAAGCGATCGAAAACGGGCTCAAACCACCGCCAAAGGCCCCCAAAGCACCCGACTCGAGATACTCGAATACACCCACCCGCGCGGGAAGTATCCCTACCGAAGGAGAGGCAGTGAAACGGCGCGGCTCAGTAGATGACCGCGTACGGCCACGACGACGTAACGAGAGCCGCAGCCGCTCAAGAAGGAGGGGAGTTCCGCCCCGGGTCGAAGATGACCGCCGGAACCCGTCGCAGGATGTGTCGAGTATGTCTCGCGGGCGCGACTCCGATGACCGAGCGCCTCCTCGCGACTATCGTGACAATCGGTACGGTGACCGTAGCTACCGGCCCAGTCGTCGCAGCCGAAGCCGTTCGACCGTTCGAACCTCTGATCGCGATCGCGATCGCGATCGTGATCGAGATCGAGATCAGGTTGCAGAGCGGCCACGATACCGCGAGAAAAGCTCCGAGAGAGATCGGGATCGGGACAGGAATCGTGATCACGACTATCGTCGAGATCGCAGCCGGGAAAGAGAACGGGATCGCAGAGACAGAGATCGAGACAGGGACCGTGATAGGGATCGAGAGAGAGAGAGAGACAGGGATAGAGCTCGCGATCGCGACGATTACCGCCGACGACACAGCTACTACTCTCGATCACGTTCTCGTCCACGGTATAGATCTCGATCCCGCTCGCGGTCTTTGCACAGAAATCGGGATCGCGATCGAGATCGAGATCGCGATCGCGACAGGGACAGGGACAGGGACAACAGAGAGAAGAGGGACACAAGGGAAACCAGAGACACCAGAGACACCAGAGACGCCCGAGACCGTGATCGAGATCGAGAAAGAGATCGAGATCGCGATCGCGATCGAGACCGCAACCGTGATCGTGATCGTGATCGTGAGCGTGAGCAAGACAGACATCGGGATCGGGATCGAGAGCGTGACCGCGACGGCAATCCCACCGCCACCGCCACCCCTACCACCACAACTAAACCCCCCATAAACCCTAATTCCACCGCCGCGACCAGCAACCCTATCACGACGACCACCACCGACCACCACGGCCGCGGACGCGATCCCGAACGCCAGCGAGACCGCCCGCCGCGCGAGGACGAGAAGTCCGCCCGGGTGTCCGTCTCCTCCCGCCGACGCTCCCGATCCCGCGCCCGCCGCTCACGCAGCCGTCGCCGCTCCCCCAGCACCCTCGACATCGACCGCTATGTGCCCCCGACCAGCAACCGCAGCCGGTCTCCGCGGCGCCGCGTGAGGTCCCCCGAACGGTCGACTGAGAAGGAGCGCGAGCGCGAGGATCGTCCGCGCTTCGTGGAGATCGATCGCTACATCCCTGGCGGTGGAAGCGCCGAGCAACAGCGGAGGCCGTCGGAGACGACCGAATCCACACCAGCTGCACCAGCAGGAGCGTCAGCATCAGCATCCGCAACAGCACCAGGCACAGCGGCGACTACTCCCCGCAAACCAGATCGAGAGACGGACGACCGTCGGCCGTTGCAGCCTCCTCTGGGCCCTCCTCCCGCTTCTGTTTCTCTTCCTCCCCCGCAGGGACCCAGGCGGCTGAGTTCCAGCCGCAACCGGTGAGATAGATCCCTGCTGTCTCTGGAATCGGAAGGGTGGATCTCCCGCCTTCCATTGTAACTATACCTTGTATTCTACGTGGGAAATCTTACACCTTTGCATGGGTTGGCGTTGATAGGATGGCTTAGGGTCGGAAGGGTAATCACAAGAACCAGAGGCTTGGGTTGGGTTGGTTTGGGTTTAATATGGGATTGCAGGGTAAACAAGCGTTTGCATTGTCTTTGAACTACCTATTACCGGGCCATGCGGGAGGTACCTTATTCTTTACTGATTCAGGATTGATTTCATGATAGGGGGGGGAGATGAGGGGAAGGCAGAACTCCGTTTGGTGAGAAATGAAACTATGTTTCAAATCACATGGCTAAATGATGCAACCTTGAGCAAGGGTCAGGAAGTGAAAAGCCCAAGCTCTGCAATGCTAAGGTACATAAGTACAAGAGGAGACGTGAGACGTATGCAAACGCCAACCGGCTACTTTGTGAAGACATGAGGAAGAAAGAAGAGTTGGGTAGTGATCAAAGTCGAAGTGAAGCTGGGGAAGAGAAAGCAAAGAGGTGACTACGGCCAAACCAAGACGGCGAAGGCCACTTCACGTCACCGTGCTCGCCTTCTCGACTGCCTCGGTGAAGCCGTCGTTCTCGGCATGCCGTTTGTAGAAGTAGGCGGTTGAGCCGGTCCCGGTAGGACGCAGTTCAGGCGACAGGCGGTCGAGAATGGTCTGCTCGAGGGCCTTGATGGAGCGTTCGTTGTCGCCGAGTTTGTTCCACACGGAGATGAGGTTGGAGTTGAAGCGCGCGGACGTGGAGACGCCGAGTACATGGTCGTGTTCTGTGTATTTCATGGGTCTTTGGTTAGTATATGGATAATATGCATACAGTGGACTTGAAGCTTATTCGGAAGTATATCTCAGAGCCGAAACCAGGGGTCCGGAGGTTCTGGAGGCTGAGGGGCGGGAGCGGGGCAGCGGGGGCATGGGGACAGAGAACAACTTGAAGTAGGAAACAGTAAAACATGCCCTTCTCCAACACAGCCTGGAACTCATTTGCCATGCACAGGATCGCGATCTCGTGGAAGAACTCCTGCGCCTTGTTCTTGGGCACCCGGAACCGCCAGCACCCGCCGTTGCGGTTCTCCGGGTCCTCCCAGACGGGCCGCACGCCCTTACGGAAGATGTGCACGGTATCGCGCAGGCGCACCTTGTCCCACGGGTAGTTGTTGTAGACGCGGTAGAAGGTGGCAATGTCGGAGACGTCCTCGTGCAGAAGGTACAGGCGCGAGTCGTAGTCCTGAGCGGTGGTTTCCTTGGTTGCGTCCGTGTGCTTGTCGTACCAGACGGCCCAGTGGTACTGGAAGGGGAGGGGCCGCAGCTTGCCGAAGATGTTCTGGTGGAGGGATTTGCGGGTCGTCGCGGAGGAGGGGGAGGTCGCTGCGGGGTTGGCTTCGGGCTGGATGGTTTGCTGGACCTTGACCATCTCCTTCAGAGGACTAGTGGTGTTGTTGATGGACATGGTCATCTTGGGCTCTCTTGGTTGTTGTATTCGGGTGGTATAGATCGATCGGTCTGTTCCACGTTCGGATCTAGGATGATAGGAGCTCCGCGGTGGAGGTGTGAGAGCCGGGGATCATGCCAATGCGCTACTCATGAAGGTGCGCTGGTGAGTCAAGAAGCTGGCGCTGTGCTTGGGAGATATTATGAATCTCTTATACTTGGGGTCAGCTGGGTTTGAAGAAAGTCCGCACCGCGGGGATGAGGAGGACGGACAATAAAAAGTATAATGGGAGCTTGAATAAAAGGACAACGGGTTTGGGGTCCAAGAATAGTGTTATCTAGTCCTGGGTTCAACTGTGGCGAACAAAGAAGACATGGGATAAATTAAGAAACAGGGAAAGGTACTGACCGGAAATGGTAAGCAACAGTGAATCTATTCCGAGATCTGGCCAGCCAACCGAGTGAGGATGGTGATGATGGACAACAACAGTTCGTTGTAGGGAAGAGTTGGCACAGTGAGGAGTAATGAAGTCCTCTGTCAGTGAAGAAGAGGAGGAAGATTGGTTTTAGAAAGAAAAAGAGAGCTGAGAACTGAATGAGCAGTGAATAGATAACATCCCCTGAATGCGGGAGGGTATAGTGGATTCAGCGCATGGATCAAGCAAGCCGGCCAGGAAGTACGAAGTTAAGTAAGTCCAAGTAACTAAGTCTCAGGACTCATAGAAGTAAGACAGACTGGCTGACTTTGGTCAAATCCCCTGCAGGGCGATCAAGCCGCTCGGAAAAGAGGCCTTGGCGATTGGTGAGTGCATGCGCCCCTCCTGCTGCCATCATTGTGCAGCACTAGATTAGATTGCCTGTTGTTGTTGTTGTTGTTGTTGTTGTTGTTGTTGTTGTAGTAGTACTTGTAGTTGTTGTAGCAGTAACTTAGTGTAGTTTACTAGGTTACGGGGCAGTTACAGTACATTTCCTCTCTCTCTCTCCCTCTTTCCTCCTCCCCGCCCGCCCCCACTTCGGCGCCAATTCGATCGCCCGCAAGTTTCAGTCAATCGTGAATTCATCCATTCGTCTTCTTTTCTCCTCTTGAAAAAATTGACAACCACCACGCCTCAAGCCACCATCATAATGAGCGCGCTTTCCTCCAACTCGACGCGCGACGACCCTGTCGCATCATCCACCACCCTCCCTCGCAGTCAAACAAATTCATCCGCCGGCCCTCCCCACCACAGCGCCGCCGCCGCCGCCGCCGCCGCCGCCGACGATAGCGACGACTACACCTCCTCCTCCGGCCCCAGCGATAGCGAAGAAGAAGACAGCGACGACGAGGATACCCCCACGACCGCGACCGATCCCAGCGCCCCGCGCCCCGCGAATAACCCCGCGCACAACCCCTTCTCAGCCTCCGCGGCGGACACGACAATCCCCCGCATTCCAGCCCTCCCCAAACCCAACATTCACCGCATCCAGCAGACGCCCGACCTCCTCTCCCGGCTTTCGGCCTTCCTCCCGCAGATGAAGACCGCCAACGAGCAGCTCGAGCGCGATATCGCCGCCGGGCGGGCGAAGGATATCCGGTTGGATGATGCGATGGATGAGGATGAGGGGGAGGATAAGGACGACGGTCAGGAGGATGGGAAGCGATATATTGAGATGGTGGGTTACATCTTTCCCCTTTCCTCTGACTTACGGGTTGTTGGTGTGCAGCATTATTCGGAAAGCTGACTCTGCTGTGATTAGAACCTCGGACTGGGCGTGCTGGAAGAGAAGCGGCCGGAAGATGAGATCTCGACCTCCGCGCAGCCGGGCAACGAGCAGACCGTGCTGGCTTCGCGGCCTAAGGACTCTGGGGTCTTGGATACTTTGATGGGTAACACGGATGCTGCGGCGGCGGCGGCGGCGAAGCCCACGATTGAGGAGTTGGAGAAGTGATTCCTATGTTTTCTGTTTGTGGATCTCTGATTTCCCAAAGAAAAAGGCTGAGAAAAAGTTTTTGGGTAGAGGTGGGGGTCTTTTTGGTTTGCATGGCTAGGGGGCGTTTTGGGATGGACTTTTATCTTTTTACTTCGTGTGCATTTTCAAGTGTCTGTCTGTCTCAGGAAATCGGGCATCTTTTTATGGCTTGGCTTTTTCATCTAGCAGGTGGAGGCACGCGCTCGTGTTGACCTCCACAATTACGTTTATAGACTAGTTCGGACTGAACGGTTTTACGACCGAGACTAAAAATAATATCGAAATATTGAACAATCATGCCGAAGAAAAAGTCTGATACATGAACCATATACAAACATCCCAAGTCTACCCTATATGAACGAGATGAAAAAAAGGTCAAGCAGAAGAAAAGTGTGATATTGATTAATTATACAGACCGCATCACCATCATCCATTAGGACACCTCCTTGACTCGGCATGTCCAGCCAGACTCCTGGCTCAAGAGAGGCAAACTGCAAAAACAAGTTAGCAAGTATCCATGAACGTTAAATTAGGGCAGAAGGCTTACCTAGCGCCCAAGCACCAACCAAGCTCGTTGTTCTTGATTTTCTTGGCGATCTTGACCTCACGAGACAATGGCATCTCGTAACCCGTGTGAAGTAGACCCAGCATGAAGTTCAGATCCAAGCACCACTCAGGGCGGTCGAGGAGCTGAGGAATAGCGTCATCAATGCCCTCGAAGATCTTCCACTCCGGCTTGCCGGCGCAGACGGTCGAGGTGAGGTGATGCAACTCATCCAGAGTGAAAGAATCCGGCATGCCCAATGGCTTGGTCCGGTCATAGAAGTAGGAGAAAACATAAACGTCTTCCCGAGCGAAGGTCTTGGCCAGGGAGGGCTGGTGCACTCCGTTGAACGAGCAGGGGGCCAGCTTGCAGTCGGCTTCCTTCTTGAGAATTTTCTCAGTCAGACCCCGACATTGGGGTGCGGCCGAGGATCCTTCCTTCGGACCCACCATCTTGACGCTAACCTTGGGAGCAAGAGCGTGCCCGGCATCGAAAGACAAGTCAACCTTGCGCTCCATACCAGGTCCAATGCAAGGGTTCGAGATAGGCTGATCCAGCCAGGCCAAGTCAGTGGGGCTGGCGGCAAGCTTGGCCTCGACGATGGCCTTGTGAACCGCTTCCCGCGCAGCCATGAGTCCGTAGCCCAAGTGAGAGTGCTGGTACAACTCAAAGTGCCGACCACCAAACTCGAGATCATACCGGTGGTCACCTTCAGCCAGGTGCTCGGGCATACCGCCGGACGGGCTCTTGGGGTAGGTGGGCTGGAAGACAATTTGAGTAGAACCACCGCCCAGGTCAAAGATGGCAGCAGTGGGGGTCTCGTCCGGTCCACCAATCTTGCCAAGAAGGTAATTGGTGGTAATCCAGGCATAAACACCTTCATTCGAGCCATCCATGATTTCGACACCACCCTTTTCCCGCGACACGACAGGGAAAGGGTACACAGTCTCGAGACGGGTCCTAACGGCCTCAAGAATCTTCATACTCATCTCATTGCCAAGCATGCGCAAACCCGCAGTGGCCTTAACGGCAATGGGTGAGCATGACCTGTACTCCTCAGGCACCGACTTAAGGGCCACCTGCATGAGAGGATCCAAACTCTTCGCCGCTCCCTCAGCATCCTCCTTGTAAGAGCTCAAGCCAGAGCCGCCTTGCCTCTTCTCAGTCTGCTCAAAGACCTCATTCTCGAGCTCGGGGGTGGGGCCGCAGTTGTTGAAGCGGTAGACGTGAATCCGGGAGCCCTGGCTACCGGCATCGATCATGAGCGCGTACTGGATCAGGGGCTTGGAAGAGTCGTACGGCTTGGTGCACTTCTCAGTCAAAGACGGTGCGCCAGTCGAAGGCTTCTCTACAACCAGTGAGTCAGTCTCAATAAGACTTCCGGATGCGGATAAAGTGACTTACGGGATCCTCCAAAATGGCTCACGGAGGGCTTGGACGGCGAAAGCCATAGAAGCATTAACAGAACAAAGCCAACAACCGCTCCGGTCTTCAAATAGCGAGCTCTTTGTGTCTGAGCCATGGCGAACATTGAAAAAGGGTTGGTTGGTTTAGAATCGGCCAGATAATTCAGATTGTCGGAAACTTTTGCGGGGGTGGAAGTGCGCGAAATCGAACGTCGACTAGTTCTAGAACCCGGTTTAGAGAAAGACGGTAGACCCTTGAGATGTCGGCTGTCAACTCCAGTCGACATGCGGACAAAGCCAAGGGGACGAAGCTATGGCGTTTCGGACAACGCTCCTGAACTCCGACCGAGTTGGACGAGAAGTAAAGATGGGAATTAGCGGTCGGAGTGAATAGAAATCATAGGATCGCCCTGAGAACCTCTGGTCCAGCCCAAAAGGATCGTGGATAGGGTGAAAGGGAGGGGGGGGGGGGAGGGACGTCGAACAACGAAGGGAAGGTGTGAAAGTGATGGTCGTCAGGAGAAGAGGAGAAAAGAAAGAAAGTAGAGAGGAGAAGATGGAGGTCGGGAAGAGAGAGGGACTGGGCTGGGCTGGACTGGTACGGTAGTCTCCCGGCACGGGAGTGGATTGGGACACGGGGAGCCTGGAGGCAAATGAGAGTGCGGGCGATTTAGCCCGCTCTCAACCTCTCAGCCTCTCAGCTTTCAGGGTCTCTCTTGTGGTCTCCGCTTATCGTGGCGCTTGTCATTGTGGCTGGTAAGCGGTCAACCTCAAGTTCTCAACCTCCCTCCTTCTCTTCCTGTCACTTTGCCCGCATGCGTCTATTCTCAGATTGTTCCAGTAATTATTGTCATTGACTTGCAGCCTGCTACGTCACCCCTATCTTCCAGGACGATTGAGCTGGTCTTTGTCCTTCTGCAGCTCTTTCTTTGACTCCAATCATTCCGGTTCATCCGATCACAAGCTTTAGCCCATCCTTATTCCTGCAACACTCCTGCGCCGAAAAATGAAGCACATGCGCAGCCTCCTCTCGACGGCGCAAGCCCTGCGCCAGGTCTTCTTCCCACCTCAACGCCTCGTCCGACCGCAGTACCTCCACCCTCTACCTATGGGCATTCGAACAATGAAATGGAACCGTAAAGATTCCCGGAAAACAGAATCGATGGCGGCGAGACTCATCAAAGACGAGGCCATTGTATCGGAATGGGTCCAGATAGTGAACGAGAACAACACTTTGGACCCCCCAATTCGACGCTCGACTGTCCTCAATAATATCGACCGTTCTAAACAGTTCTTGATCAAGGTCAGCGATGGAGCGGATGGCGCGCCGCCGGTCTGCAAGGTTGTGGAAAAAATGGCTCTGCGGGAGGCAGAGCGTGCCAGAGCCAAGGCAGCCCACACCAGCAGAACCTCCTTGAAGCAGGTGGAATTGAACTGGGCTATCGATAGCCATGACCTTGGCCACCGTCTGAAGAAGATCACCGAGTTCATTACCAAGGGCTTCAAGTTGGAGGTTGTCTTGATGAGGAAGAAGGGCAAACGAGCCCCCACGGCGGAGGAAGTCAAAAGCCTCATGGACAAGGTGGTGGAAACGATAAAGGGGGCCAATGGTATGCAAATCAAACCTATGGAGGGAGAGCCAGGGCGGTTAGTCACTATCACTGTGAAGAAGAAGCCCGACAACTAGCTTGTTGATGCGGCTATCCCGGTAGAGAAGGCCACACTTTTGTAAATCGGCCATTGTCTACAATTGTAATATATGAATCTATTTCTTACCACAACGCAAGCTAGGATTTGCACCTAGGAACTGTACATGCGCTATCTACATGGTAGTCAGGTGTATCTACTGTATGCTTATTTGCCGGATGTTCCTGGCCGACTCCGCAATGCTGCGGGCATGATTGGCCTGAGGCTGAGTCAGCCGCTCCCTAGAATTTTCCGGGCTTGATTAAGGTCCTCCTCCAAACCTTCCCGGTCCGGCTGGTTTTGATTTCTGTCCATCGCGTTCCATTTGGTTTCCCTTCCTGTTGTTGTTGTCCCATCGCAGGTAGCCATCATGTCGAGCCTTGCCAGAACTGCCAACCTCTTGCTGCGCTCCAGCCGGGCGTCTCTGTTGCGTCCTCGTGCTGTCAACCCCATCCAGCATGTCTTTGCCAAAGACAAGCTGGCTGCCCGCGGTCTGGCAACTGCTTTCGAGCGTACCAAGCCTCACGTCAACATCGGTATACACTCTCCATCACAGTCATTCATCTTTCGTACTTTCATACTAATTCATATCCAACAGGTACCATTGGTCACGTCGATCACGGCAAGGTTAGCACCATCTTTCCCTCCCATCACCCTTCCCTTCCCTCGATCTGGCCCCGAAAACTTCTCACACTTCGAATCAGACCACTTTGAGCGCTGCCATCACCAAGCAGCAGGCCACCAAGGGTCTTGCCAACTTCCTCGATTATGGCTCTATCGATAAGGCCCCTGAGGAGCGCAAGCGTGGTATCACCATCTCCTCTGCCCACATCGAGTACGCCACGGAGGCTCGCCACTACTCCCACGTCGACTGTCCTGGCCACGCCGATTACATCAAGAACATGATCACTGGTGCTGCCAACATGGACGGTGCCATCGTTGTCGTTGCTGCTTCCGATGGTCAGATGTATGTTTGCCCTTTTGTTTCTGGTCCTGGAAATGTACTCATACTCGTTTCTCTGCAGGCCCCAGACCCGTGAGCACTTGCTGCTCGCTCGTCAGGTCGGTGTTCAGAAGATCGTCGTTTTCGTCAACAAGGTCGATGCTGTCGATGACCCGGAGATGTTGGAGCTCGTCGAGCTGGAAATGCGCGAGCTTCTCACCACCTACGGTTTCGAGGGTGAGGAGACTCCCATCATTTTCGGCTCTGCCCTCTGCGCCATCGAGGACCGTCGCCCTGACATCGGTGCCGAGAGAATCGATCAGCTTCTCGAGGCCGTCGACACCTGGATTCCCACTCCCCAGCGTGACCTTGACAAGCCTTTCTTGATGTCCGTTGAGGAAGTCTTCTCCATCCCCGGTCGTGGTACTGTCGTTTCCGGCCGTGTCGAGCGTGGTCTTCTGAAGAAGGACAGTGAAGTCGAGATCGTCGGTACCACCAACGAGGTCATCAAGACCAAGGTTACCGACATCGAGACCTTCAAGAAGTCCTGTGACGAGTCCCGCGCTGGTGACAACTCTGGTCTCCTTCTCCGTGGTATCCGCCGTGAGGATATCAAGCGTGGTATGGTCGTCACCGCTCCTGGCAGCGCCCGTGCCCACGACAAGTTCATGGTCTCCATGTACGTCCTGACCGAGGCTGAGGGTGGTCGTCGCAGTGGAT